TTTTTGGAGTCCACCTAGCACTTTCCATTTTGGTGGGTCTGATGTTGTGAACCCACCTTTCCATTTTAGTCCTTGTGGGTCTAAGTTTGGGGACCCACCTTTCAGTTGCAGTTATGACGGGTCTTCGATTTGGACCCCACCTTTCAGTTTCAGTTATGATGGGCCTACGATTGGGAACCCACCTTTCAGTTTTAGTTTGGATGGGTCTTCGTTTGGGGACCCACCTATTCGATTCAGGTTTGGTAGGTCTCATCTTGGGGACCCACCTTTCCGTTTCAGCTTTGACGGGTCTTATCTTGGGGACCCATCTTTTCGTCTTAGGTTCAGGAGGAGAGTAGACAGGTGCTTTGTGATTGAACGGTTGTTTCTTGAGTTTGGTTTTGAAAATCTCCTCCTTAGAAAGCCGATTAACATGTTTCCTAGAATGAACTCTAAGGGCATATTTCATATCTGGAATACAAAACGTTCCCTTAGAAGTTCCTTTCTTGGTTTCTTTTTCAGGTTTAAGCTTTCTGGAAGGCTTAGATTTAACAACATTCATATCACATTCATAATTATGGGGATCTGGAACAGAATAACCATAAGCAACACTTGTATTATAAATAGAACTTTGTCTGGAAGATGTCTCAGAAATATTCAGCTTGGGACTCAAGACTGAACTGTTAGAAGTTTGCTTTGTAGAGACAGAATTACAATTAACTTTTGAGTAAAATATTGAACTAGATCTAGGGCTGGCACTTTTCTCAAAAACTTTCTTTTTGCCATATGCGATTTCCTTCCTCTTTTTCCTCCACTCATTCTTCTCTTCTCCTTCCTTATTCACTTCATTCCCTGTAAACAAAGGAGAAGAGAGATGAGTGGACGAACCTTTAAAAGTATTGTTTTTCTCATGTGAGGTGTGTGAGCTGTCAGGCTTGGTCGTAGAAGGGTCTGTTTTAGCATGAAACTGCTCACTCAAATCATTAAATTTTTGAAGAAGTTCCTGCCAGTTGCGCTCAAAACCTTTCTTTTCAGTTTCAAATCTCTCTCTCTCGTTATCAAGAGTTTTTTGTAGATTTTTGAGCTTTTGAGCCATGGGAAAAATACATGGTTCCTCACCAGTTTTAGCAATACCAACTCTTGGGGGAGGGTCTAGAGGGTGTCCTATGTGAGGAATATCTTTGGCATAAGGGTCAAGGCATTCACTAAAGCAGGAAGTAGGTTTTTCTTCTGAAAGTTGTTTTTCATTTACAGAGGGATAATCACAAGAAATCGCAGGTTTTGGTTTCTTTCTCTTTTCTTCTTCTGCTTCAGCATAATCTTCATCACTTCGAAAATACATTTTCTCACCAAACCCTAGTCCCATGTAATCTTTGTTATAGATTTGAAGGCAATTAACTTTCTTAAGATTACGTGGGTTAGTTATGCCCAGTCCTGTTTTAGCATTGTAGAATCGGTCATCCTTTTGTTTGTTGTTAAGCAGAAAAACAGTTTGTTCAGATTGACCTCTTCTAGCAGCTAGATCTTCTAGTTCTTTTACTTTATTTAAAAGCGTTCTTCTTTTGTTATGCAAAAAATCGCATTCAGCCTTTGCTGTGCTTTTTTCCCGTTCACTGTCCTCAAATTTCTTAGTTAATTCAGCTATCTTAAGTTCAAAGCTTTCAAAATCTGAGGACACCTTTTTGACTTGATCTTTTGCAATTTCAAGTTGAATACTTAAGGAAGACTTTTGGTCTAGATTCTGTTTCAGAACTCTATGATTATTGTCTAGTCTCTCCTTTAGTTTTTTGATTAGATTGTCCTTTTCAAGTAAGGACTGCATTTGATTATTTAAAGAAGTATGTGAGGTACTTACAGAGCTTGTTGAGCAGTTGCTTTCGGGGATTGCAGCATCACCCTTTATTTCATCTCCCTCCACACGTGCCATAAGGGCATAGTTGTCTTCCTCTTCCTCCTCCTCAGAAGAATCTTCTGCCCAGTTTTCATTCTCAGCAATCATGGCAGAGGTTTCTTCTTCTTTCTGCACCATCAACATTTTCTGCTTATTCCACAGCATCTTCTGCTTGTAGAAGTTAGCATCTTTCTTCTTTGGGAGGCGGCAGTCTTTGATCACATGTCCTGGTTTGCCGCAATTATAGCATTTAGGAGCTTCTTCTGCCGATGATGCCTTCCTAGAAGATCCTTGATCATGGTTCTTCTGCTTGTAGTTTGAGGAGGAAGTTCTTAGCCTGTTGGAGGAGCTGTTCTTCTTAGCAAATCTCTTGGCAAGCATTGCCATCTTTTTCTGTAAGTCTGCTAGCTCAGCCTCTAGATCAGATTTGTCATCTTCACTCTCATCATCATCTGATTCAACCACCACCTTCTTCTTTTTCTTCTTTAGTGAAGTGGTTGTCCTTCTTGGCTGAGCATCCATTACAAGAGCTAAGGGATTTGTGGTGTGATGATCCTCAGCACAGGCAACCTCGTTGACAAATTGTTTCAGATGTTCATAGAGTGTGCAGAGGTCAATTTCGTCCAAATCTATCCGAGATCTGACATCCTTCACTGTCTTTTCCCATGCAGGATGTAGGCTAGATAAAAATCTTGTATTCAGTTCCAGATTGGACCTGAATACTTTGATCTTTCTGAGTTCATTTACCAGTTGAACAAGTCTGTTGTAAGTCTCATTCAATGGTTCTCCTGGACCTGCTTTGAAGGAGTCATAAGCGATGAGGATCGTAGTCTTCTTTGTTTTGAGGCTGATGCTTGTGCCTTGTAGCAGCTTCTCAATTTCATCCCACATTTCCTTAGCTGTCTGCATGCTATCTATGAGAACATAAACCTCATTCGGTATTGCTTGAAGGAGGTACGTTTTGGCCATAAGATCACCACGAAGTCTGAGCTTGTCGGCTTCTGTGTATTCAGACGACACTTTTCTCCTTATTTCTGGAAAAATAGGAGGATTGTTCTCTGGATCTCCACCAACTGAAATCAAGAGTTCAGCTGGTCCTTCAAGCAAAGATTCGAGCATTGCAGAAGAGTTCTCTTTGTGCTCGAGGAAGTTTAGAAATCTGTTCCTCCACTTTTGATATTCTCCCTTCCTGAGGCTAGGAGGGGTACTGCTGTTCCCTTGTGCATTGTATTCTGAACCCATTGCTGTACTAAACTGACCGTTCGAGAAAATTGATCAAAAGATTTTCAGAGGCAGAATCTCGAAAAATCAGATGTCGAGATCTGAATATCGAAATCTCAGATTTCGATAAAGGAGGCCTGGTATCGAGATTTGGGCTCGAGATTAAGGATCTCGAGATTAGGGATCTCGAGATTTCAAATTTCGAGATGCTGATCTCGAGATTTGAAATGTCGAGAAGTTAATCTCTCGAAATCTTAATCTGATGAGTCAAATGTCGAGACCAGATGTCGAATCCTTTTCTCGAAATCAAGATTTCGAAATCCTAGATGTCGAAATCCTCAATGTCGAAATCCTTCAACCTGTAAAAATCAGATAATCAAAATCTGAAGATAGTTTCCTGTAGAGTTGAATGTCGAGATCTTCTGGTAAAGTTTTCAGCTCGAAAAACGTAGCAGAACCTGTGAAGAAGTAGGATGTCGAGATGCCTAGCTCGAGATATCTCGAAATCAAAAATTGCGTAAAACACAAACTGAAGTATACCCTTTGATCGCTTTGAAATGACGATTCCAAAGGTGTAACTTTTACAACTTTTGAACAAGAAACAAAATTACAGAGCAAAAAATCGACAGAATGAACTACGTTATCAAAAACAGAGTATTCTGCAGGAATTCTTCTGATCGTTCTCGATCGGCTCTGATACCAATTGTTAGTCCCTGTTTCTGTAACAGCAATGAATAATCGATCTAACAAGGAAGATTAAACGTAAAGATGAACACAGAATGAAATCACCGTAAAACCTTCTTTGATAAACCGTGGAACGTACAGCAGAATAATAAGCGTAAGGCTATGAATAATAAGTACGACGTTCAGCCTTTTACTAAACCTCGGTTCCCTTTTTATAGGCGAGGTTTAGGTTAGGCGTACCAGGCTTTTGGCCTGTTTAAATGGGCCTAACACTTGGCATGATTTCTATCTAATTTATGCACTATTTAAATACAAGGATTAAATATAAAGCTAATCTATGACCAACTTGATTCACAATTAAATATCTCCAACAGATTTAGCCGTGCGAACAAGACATGCATATGTAGAGCCCGTTTGGTAGCATGAAAATCAGCTGATTTAGCTGATTCTGCTGAAATTTATGAAGTTCTGGCTGAAGTGGCTGCATTGGCTGATTCTGTTGATTTAAGAAAAAAATAATTTTAAAATATATTTTATTAGTAAAATAAAGAAAAAGTTATATGTAAAAATAGCTAAAATGATCATCTACAGTAACTTCAGCCAATACAGCCAGAAAAGTAACTTCAGCCTTACTTTTTCTGTTTATTACACAATTCAGCGCGCAAAAGCAAAATTTACGTGTTTGGTGGAAAAGTTGACTGATAAGTCTGATAACAGTGTTGCCAAACGGCCTCGTAGTATGATCCATTTGGTTTAGTAGTATGTAGTATGTGTCCGCTATGTTGATTGATTGGTACATAGGGCGAATATTGTCCCCTTGGGAATCTGTTATCTATATACGACAATGTACTAGCATAATGTATAAAAGTTTTCATTTGTTCATGTGTGTTGTTCACTCTACTCTTATTCAAATCTAATGGAAATGTTTAAAGCTCAGTTGCCAAGTTTTTCAGTTTTATTAGTTTTAGTTTAAAACTACTGCTACATAGTTTTATCAAACACATAATTTTTTTATTTTGCATGCTGAATTGTGTAATAATTAAATATGTAAGATTGAAGTTTTTTCTTATTGAATTATTTGAAATTTGTGTAGAGGCCAATTATTTCTTCATATGTTTTTTGAATTTTATTAATAAAATATGATTTAATTATAATTTTTCAAATTTCAATCTAACAAACGAGTTGTGGGCTGTAATTGTAGTGGGTGGTTATTCCATTAGACATACTTGTTGCAAGTTTCAACTGCACAGACGTTACTCTAGTTTGATCAAACTGCCCCTTTCCTTCCGTAATTAATTTCCTCACCATCATCATCAAGTAAAAACAGGAACTGGTTAATGGGAAAGCAAGGGTGCAGAGTGGTGATGGTGGTACTGGTTGCTGCTTGTTGGGTGGACCGAAGGGCATGTGGGGTGGAACACAGGGTGGGAGAGGAGTGGGGGTGGACCATCCCGCCCCACAACCACTTCTACGGCAACTGGTCTTCCTCCGGCTCCTTCCGGCCGGGAGACACCCTTCTGTTTGACTTCGACCCCGTCTTCTACAACCTCATCCAAGTCTCCAAAAGGGAGTACGACGCCTGCACCGCCAATCAGCCGTTTCAGGCCTTCACCGACCACGTTCCGCCACTCATAATCCCTCTCAGGGAATCGGGTGTCTTCTACTACCTTTGCAGCCTCTTGAACTACTGTTCGTTGGGCCTCAAGCTTAACGTTTCCGTCCAACCGCCCACCCCCTCCCCTCTTGCGCCGCCCAATGGTTAAATGGTACGTCATATAAGGGTCGATTTCCTAGCTATCCGGAGAGAGAGCAGATATACTTAATTGGTGGAATAAGTTGATTGATCTAGCTATCCGTATATGTCTTGTAATAAATGACTCTCCTCTCTGTACATTCTGTTATGCATGGTTAATAGTTGATTCCCTAACTGCCTAACTGATGATAAAATTATTGAAATATTATGAGCCCGTTTGGAGACCTCTTTTTTCGGCTTATCAGGCTTATCAGTCAGCTTTTTCACCAAACACGTAACTTTTACTTTCGTGTGCTGAATTGTGTAATAAGCAGAAAAAGTAAGGTTGAAGTTACTTTTCTGGCTGTATTGGCTGAAGTTACTGCAGATGACCATTTTAGCTATTTTTACATGTAATTTTTTCTTTAATTTATTAATAAAATATATTTTTAAAATATTTTTTCCTTGAATCAGCAGAATCAGCCAAAACAGCCACTTCAACCAGAACTTCATAAATTTCAGCAGAATCAGCCAAAACAGCCGATTTTCGTGCTACCAAACGGGCTCTATGTTTTCTCATCATATAACTGTTTTCTCTCCAATTAAAGATCTAAATTTGACTCTGCATATTTCCAAGTAAGACTTCCTCATGTTTTAGTTTTCCCTTACTTTTCATGTTTTACCTTCTACTCATCTTCTCCTTTATATATATTTCATCTTATATTTGGCCTTTTCTATACAATTCAATATTACTAAAATAAACTAATAAAGCATTTAAGTGATCTATCTACTAAATTTGAAGGAAAATAGGAACTTGGGTTGAAACACTGTCCAAAAGAACTCTCCACTTTATTGGTGGAATAAGTTGATTGATCTAGCTATTTTAATAGAGATATCCTTTTGGGTTCAGCTAAACCACAAGCGTAAACAACTCAGGTTACTCAGGCCTAGCACTTTTTTTTTATATCCCTAATAAATTGTTTTTTTTTTCATCTCTACAATATACAAATTCTACGAGTTCTATGTAGTCCCCTCTATAATTACAAGCATGAAACACCTATATTTTAATTGTTGTTTGAATGACTTGAGAAACAAAGGCACAAAGCTTCTTATCCATGTCCATTTTGTGGCCGTCCAGCATATGTTAGTTGCTAGTGCAAGTGATAGACTAGAAAGAAAACAACATAAATTATATAATGTGAAAAATCAATAAAAAATAAAAGGACTTGAAACAAAAAACATCATATTTGAAGATGCCAAAACTATATTTAAGTCGATAAAGAATGATACATATTTCTCTATGTTCAGAATCTATAATCCTCAAGAGTTGTGATTACAACTTTTGATTCCTAAGAAAAGGACTCTCCCCTAATTCAATTTTTACCCACAAACAGAATTGAAGCATTGCTCTAATATCAACAAACTACAGTTTAGTTTGTATGTACCACCAAAGGAGGGAGGAAGGGGGATAAACAACACTTTCTTGAACAGTCAATCTTTAATAGCTTCAAAGGGAGGCATACAAAGGACAGTTTCGACAAAAGGGGCAAGTAGGGCGACGCTTGAACCAAATGTCAATGCACTTGACATGGAAAAGATGTCCACATTCAGGCAATACCCTGACAATATCATCATCCTCATAATCTGCTAAGCAAATACAACACTCTGATGAGGAGTAATCAGAATCCTTCTTCTCATACTCCTTCACCTCTGAATAAAGAAGCTTTGGGTAGCTATCTAAGTAGACCAAAAACATTGCTTCACCAATGCTTATTATATGCTCCTCTTCACCGTCCACTCCTGTGGTGGCAGCACTTCGGTGTACGCCATCCCCGGGTTCCCCTTTAACACATCTGTATACAAGAAAAGGGAGGATCACAAGAACTGCAAGGATGCCTAGTGAAAACCCAATGCTGTAACACAAACTTTCCCTATGTCCAATATCTTCATAGGAACCTCCACTAGCTACCATTGTGTAGTTATATTCCATCTTCTCTCAATGGGTTGTATTGGTAATTAAGAAAAAGAATACTATTAGCTCTAATATCTTCTCTAAGTGTTTCTAATTATATTGTAACTTGGGACTGAAAGTAGAATGTAGAGGCCCAAGACTCAAGCAACTCAAAAGAATCTTCAAAAGTTAAACTAGCCAAGTTTGCATCTTTCTTGCTTTTGATTAGTTATTATTAGAACAAACTTTTACGAATATAAGCTTTGTTAGAATCCAAAATTGGAATATTGAAGTGATAATCATGCGTTATATGACTTCTTTGCTCCCTCTGGTGCCGGACAATAGTTAATAGTAAGGATGTGAAAAGGGCTTACTAGTTTTGGCTTATTTCGGGAGGTATAATAAATACAGCAGAAAAACGTCAAAATAGTACTTTTAACTTACCCTGGCGCACAAAAAGTACATCATTTTGCACTCAACATTATAAAGTACGTTAATGTACAGAATTCAATACTCAGTAGTACGCAATAAAAACTGAAAAAGAATGTTAAATTGTTAACTTAATCGTTAGGTGTTAACCAAGTAAACATACCCTACCTAAATTATTCATAACATTTTGATTTTAGTTATGCAACTTTGAAATTGCATTCTTTTCTGATGTTAAGAGACTTCAATTACCACGCTTGATTCAGTGAATTGCATAAAATGAAATAAAAATAATGTAAATGATAGATTATTGAAAAAAATGCATGCACAAAATTAAGGTTGTAATCAACACAGATGCATCTTTTAGACTCCAAAAATCTTGAAATAGAAATATGGCTTACAATATCAATTAGTTCACACTACAGAGGAAATTCCCCAAACCATAAAAAATAACATTCCAAACACCCACCCACCATCCAAACTCAAGAGGAGATGAAAGGATGTGGTGGGTGGGACTAGAACCCTTATGAACTGATTTAAAACCAAATACTTTCTCCCTATAAAAATCACTGCTGGGCGCATTGGACCCTTTGACCACCACCATGCATATCTTCATCTTCATCATATGCCTCTTGTGCTGCCTGCTGCTGCTTCCTGCGCATCTCTTCTTCTATGTTAATATCATGCAAAGTAGTTTCCTCGCATTCATCCAATTCCATATCAGTAATTTGCTTTGAAGTCCTTGGAGGAAGCACTGCCTCAAGGGCCTTGCACTGATCAGGGGATAAAATGGCAGGGAAATCCACTGTGAAATGAATGTATAGCTTCCCTTTAATAAAGGGCCTCTGGTACATTGGCATTCCTTCATCGTTTATTGCCTTGAACTGATCTGTCACAACAAATAAAGACCAATAGAAATAAGATCAAGGAAAAGTAAAAATGAATTCACCATTTCTCTTATGGGTCTCAAAACGATCAGGGAGCACACTTGGGTTAACTTGTACTGGATGAGGTACTGTAATAATACCTTAGTAATATAGTTAGCATATTTATGAATTTTTCCCTAAGATATTCTCTCGCTAACATGAAGTAATTCCCTCTTCAACTTTCGTTTTTTCACTTCTCATGTTCAATAGCTTCTCAGGTCAGTTATCAAATAAATCAACCAAACTTCGTGTTAAAGTTTGCTTGATAAGTCAAGCAGGGCCAAACTTTCATTTTTTAACTTCTTATGTTCAAATGCTTTACTTCTAATTTTGATCCTCTCAGGTCAGTTAGCAAATTTTTCCATCATGGCTTGAGATTATGATGGAATAAAGCAAAATGGCTCACTAAACTGTCTGCTCTTCTTTGTTATGAAGCAGCAGTCAGTCCATGCAGTTTTGGACGCGATTTTCACTATGGGTCATCCGGAAACCGTCTCTCTGTGCTTTAGTACAGAGGTAAGACTGTGTACATCCGACCCTCCCTACCCCACCGTAGGTGGGAGCCTTTGATGCATTGGGGTAAATGAAAAAAAATGATGAGGTCAGTTAGCAAATAAATCAACCAAACTTTGTGTTAAAGTTTGCTTGGTAAGTCAAGAAGAGCCGAAAGTGGCAAGCAACCCGTGCCATAAACCAAATGAAAGTCAGTTGCCAAATGAATGCTAAGCTAATTGTCAAGGGGCTTAAGTGGATATTTTTCCCAGTTTTTTATATGTAGGGATACAAATTCATCAAGAATACTCCCTCCATTCCATTTAAAGGTTCCCGTCCACTATTCTCCGGTCAACATGCATTGTTCTTAATCTTTTATTTTATATATCCAACTTTTATCAAATTTAAATTTTCTTGATCAGACTTTGTAGCGGTTTTAATGTAGTTTCTGAATATGTAAATTTTATTTACTAAAAACAATTCTACTAATGACAGGGATCAATTAACTTTATGGTCAATCAAACTTGGTAAACCGTGTGAGAACCTTTAAATGGGACAGAGGGAGTGTCAGTTTTAAACAAAATCACAAACCAATCAACTCACTCTATTTCGACTTACCAGGCTTAACAACTTCACCAGGCTGTGACTTAATGAGAAGCTGTCTATTATCTAGGTGTGTCAAGATAAACTGGAAGCCACAAAGCGCCTCAGTTAGGGACAATGTGTGCTCTACAAAGAGGTCATCTCCCTTTCGCTTGAACTTGGGATGTTCTTTTTGTTGCAGGACAAACACTATGTCTCCAGTGAGAGTATCAGGCTGTGAACAAAGTTGCACTATCAGATACCAGTGAAAAGGTCATGTATTAAAAAATATGACAACGAAAAACGAATTCACTTACAGCTTCATCAGCCTCTCCAGGGAATGTAATCTTCTGACTGTTCTGCATTCCTTTCTCCACGACAACTTCCAAAACCTTCTTCTCCTGCACAACCTTCTCACCCTTGCATTGGGGGCACCTGTCTTTGTCATTAATTGTCTCACCAGTACCCTTACACTCATTGCAAGCATGCTGCATCTGCTGAATCATAGATGGACCAAGGTGTCGGATAGAAACTTTCATCCCAGACCCTTGACAACCAAGACATTTAGTTGAAGCCCCTGACTTAGATCCCTTCCTGAAAGCATAAGAACAGGTTCATATCGAGACAACTAAATAGGCACAGTGCCTTAAAAAGCTTGCACCTTTATTCTAAAAACTATAAAAGATTAAGCACCATTCTAACTTGGCATGGGAGGCCATCACTAGGCCCCTCACCTTTCTCTCTGTTTGTGTAGACAATAAACCTATAGATACATGCACTTTGAGAAAGATATAGCCAAAGACAATATTTACCCCTTGCACTTTGCACATAGAACATTACGAGAAAGAGAA